GGACCACAGCCCTCGTTTCAGGAGTACATCCTGGTGTCACTTGACCTTGAAGAACAGGTAACACTTCAGCAGCATAGGTGATGGGAAGGGGTTGCAGAGAGGCTGAGAGTACACCAGGTAGAGGGATCAACAGAAGTAATTTCACAGAGCCTGGCTCTGAAACCGAGAGATGATGAGTGTGTTCAGGAAGTGTCACAGACTTAGGAGGCTGGAAGGAGAGATTAAGATGAAGTTTCGTGATGGGAGAAGAGAATCTTGGACTCTCTTGTAACAGAATATTAGAAGAGAGGTTTAGAGATTTGGTAGGGGGGCACGATTTTATAGTTCATGTAGCTCTTCCATATTTCTATTCTCATGTACTCATTATAGCCATCTTGGGAAGTAGATATACAGATGATGGTCAAATATTCAGGTCACCTTCTTTGCAAAGCAAAGATTTGGACTCAGGCTCTGAATTAGAAAAGGCTATGTATCCTGATTCATAAAAATATGAATTTTTTATCCTGAGCCAGGTCACTTGGGTTCAAATCTCTCTGGTGCCATTTAGAAGCCATAGAAGCTTGAGAGAAAAAAATAATGGCTAAAACTTAGTGTTTATATGCCAGGCTGTGTTCTATTATAAATACATAGAACTAAATACATACTACTCATTTAATCCAACATCCCTATGACATATAGTCTATTATTACCACTATTTTAAAGCTCCCACCCCCCTCAGAGAGAGAGAGAGAGAGAGAGAGAGAGAGAGAGAGAGAGAGAAAAGGAAGGGGTATCTCAGTAGAAGATAAGGATATATTAACACCCTCCCCACAGATTCCCTGTGTCTTGATTTATAATATAGTCTCAACTCCTTGGTATCCAACTAGTTCTCTTCCCACTTATGATACTGTGGTAGATTCCCTTCTGTGCAAAAATATTCACCTCCTCACCTCACCTTCTTAGAAGGAGTCTACTTCCCTCCCCTTGGCTTTGGGCTCAGCCATGAGACTTGCGTTAGCCAGAGAGAGAGTAGCAGATTCAACACTGAAAGATGACAAGTGCTTCCACAGTTAGGCTTCCCTCTGGTACTTGTGCCATCACAATGAGAAGAGCTTCCCCTGGATAGCACCTACTGCTATCTGGGGCTCAGAGTCACCACAGGAGAGTAGATCTTCCCAGCTACCCCCAGATTTCCCATTGGCTGAGTGATTAGAGTGACCATCCTCTAGTCTTGTAGAAAGTAGAATACCAGCCAATCTAAAGACACTCTTTGGGACCCAAGGGTAAGAGTCTAGATCCATATCCCCTTCTCCAGCAGAACACCAGCCTCTGAGTTTCCTTCTTTACTCTGGAAGCTGAACCAGATGATGGGACAGAAAAGGAATTACTAGAATCTTACCTCCTACCGCTACATAATGTGTTTCCACTATAACAAGTATCCTTTTGATTAAAACTAACCAATTTCTTAAATAACAGGATTTGGAATTTTTTTTCCCCAACAAACCCATTCCAATTAGTGGCAACAGTGAGAGAAACTTCACACATAATCTGGGCATCTGTACAATGTAAACATATAAGTTTCCCATTTAATGACGATAAATTGCACTGTTGGATTAATACTCAGCTTGCACATGGAACAATTATATTGGGTAATACAAGTTCAGTAGATGTGTTCTTTTAAAATCTTAGGTAAATCACCCTTCTATAAATTGAATCTCCTTCTAAATGCACCAAAGGGCTAGTTAAGAAAATACCATGTAGAAATTTTTCCCAAAGAAAATAATAACACTCTTATCTGTTATGAAAGTTTTCTAATATATTGGGTTGTCGGAAAAGTCATGACGTATTTTTTTCTATGTTTTTCATTGCAAAAATGCGTCATGACTTTTCCAACAACCCAATAATATACTGGGTCTGCCTAAACCATGGTGCAGTTGGGTACTCCCCTACAAGCAGCATCTCTACAGGACGGCATCCATATCGCAATGACCACAATAATGTTAAAATGCTTTACATCACTCTTTATTTCAAAAGTGCTTTGCTAACATAGACTAATCTTCACAATGTTCAAGGGAGGTAGATAAGTATTACATCACTTTCACAGATGACGAAACTGAGGCAGAGATTAGGAAATTGAGTTGAAGGGCATAATATATGGCACAATTAGGAAAAGAATGTGTTGCAGTCACAGATCCTTGGTGACCTTTCCCATGACTTCTGAGTCCCACCGACACAGAAGTAGCAGAGGCAGCACAGAAGCAACTCATCGATAGTTTGGCCAGGCTAAGGCTACACTTCACCTTGTTGGTAGCAGATGTTAAATATGCTGTCCTTTGGCAAGTATTTCCCTCACACCCATTCTCACACGACTACACTTCTAAAACGGGAGAGTAGAGTCGTCATAGATGCAGAAGGAGGGCTTGGAGAAACAGGGCTAGGAAGGAGGGAGACAGAAGGAAACACACACACTGATATCCAAGCGAAGGTGAGGAAGAACAAGGGGACCAGCTGGGAAGCAGCCCCCCAGAAAGGAAAGCCACAGCAGAAAAGAAGTGTCATTCCAGGCCAGCCGAGTAGCTCAGCTGGTTGAGTGCAAGCTCTGAGCAACAGGGTCGCCAGTTTGATTCCCACATAGACCAATGAGCTGCGCCCAAGCTGAGCTGCCAACAGGTGGCAGGATGGCTCAGCAGGTGAGAGCACGTGCTCCTAACAACAAGGTTGCAGGTTCAACTCCCGCATGGGGTGGTGTGCTATGCCCGCCCACAAGTAAGATTGAACACGGCATGAGCTGAGCAGCCGCGAGCTGCCGATGGGTGGCCGGATGGTGACTGGACTTGTGAACTGAGCTAGCTGTGCCCTCCACAACTAAAATTTAAGGATAACACCTTATCTGTTCCCCTTCCCCAATTCCCCAATAAAACCTTAAAAAGAAAAAAAAGAAGTGTCATTCCATTTGAAAAGCTCAGACATCCCGAAATGCTATTAAAAGGGTAATTCTTAGCAATGACATTACAGAACCACTCTTCATGGCTTTGGCAAATATAATTATCAGGTCCTTCTGACATTCCCAGGAGGCAGAACCATTCCATTCCCCATCAGACCAAGTGCTGATGTGATTGACCTGACACAGTGGAGGCTGCTGACAACTCAAATGCACTCTCCCAACAAGCCACCTCTCTTCCTCCATTCTCTTTCTTTAAAAAAAAAAAAGACAATGCATTTTAGGAGTCAGCCTGAAAAATTCCTAGAATGTTTCCTAAATTTTTGATGCATAATATGGTAGGATTCCATGTTTCATTTTTGCAAAGGGACTGCAACAGGGATACATGGGGATTAACAGCCCCTCTCAGCCAATGCTCCTTTATATAACATGGGACATTAAAAAAAAAAAGAAACTGAAATTTGTAGATGCCAACTGTCTAGAAAAGAATTGAAGCTCAAGGTAAAGAAATAATCTTTTCTGATCTTTCTGTGCAAAGTCATGATAAGAGATGAAGACGGACGTACCACCAGCTGCACTGGAAGTCCTGATGGCAGAGACAGTACCAAATGAGTGGGGTGACAAAGACCCCAGGAGGGAGGGGCTAAAGTGTCAGATGAACAGATGGAAGAGGCAGCATAGGCAGCTGAAGAGGCAGAAGTCAGAGCAGAGAGGTGACAGCCAAAGAGATGAGAGAAGGTGCTGGTGTTTGAGGCTGAGTGGGAAGCAATTGCACTAGTTTGTGTCTAGGCCTCTCCTAAGATAGGTCAGAGCCAGAAAGGCATCCTTTCTTCCTTTATTTCAAACAACAGCATCATTCTTTCAGGCACCAGGCTTTAAAACTTGACCCCTTCTCTCCAACAAAAGCAATCAACTGCCAAGCCTGATTGATCCCACTTCTGCAATGCCCTTCACTGTCGTTTGGACTACAGCCTCCTCTAGGTCCTCCTATCATCTCATCCTGACCAGGGCCAAACCTTCCTACCTTGCCTCCTGGACTTGTCTTCTCTAAACTCAGCTCCATCACCTAATCTTTCTCCTGGAGCACAATTTTGATCACATTACTGTCCAATATGGAAATCGCCCATGTTCTCACTACCTCCCAATTATGTGTCTCATCATCTTGAATCTTCAATTGCTCCTTGCATCTAGTGAAGTTCCTCTCCTTTTCAAATCTCCACCTGCCCAAATGCCAACTCTGAAAACTTAGCTCAAATGCCACCCCCTCCTTCCTTGAAGTATCTTAGCTCTTGGCTGTAAGCTACAAATGCACTGATATGTGCATTGATCAAGCACATGACAACCGTGTACAAGCCTTACCTCCCCTACTGGGCTGTCCATGATTTAACAGGGTGGGGGATGGTGAACTATGTCTTAATATTTATCTGTCAATTCTCTACAGCACCTACCAAGAAATGGTTATTGCATTTCCATCTCAGGTAAGGAACTGCCCAAAACGGAAATGGATTGGGATGTACCTGTTCATGAATGGAGATACTACAAATACCCTGTAGACCTGATCTAACTCTCAGGATGAAACAAATCCACAATAATTTGAGGGATGGGGTGGGGGCAGGCGGTTGGGACTATTTTTCTTTTCGAGTCAAGAGACCTGGGACTGAGGCTCTGCTTTGCCATTCTTAGCTATGGGCCTGGTGCTTCTTCTCTGAGCATCATTTCCTCACTTCGTCATGACCTCAGAGGATTAAGGGTCGAATGAGACACATTTGTGTGCTTTACACCTCTTTAGAGGTAAAAATATGCCCAAAACTACAGCAGACCAGGCCCCAACCCAAGTCAACTGAATTAGAATCCTCTGGCAGCAGGACCCAGCGGGCTTAATTATTTATAAAACACTGTTCCTAATGCATAGCCAAGGTTGAAAACTACCGTTAGAAATTCCTAAATGCCACTAACAGTGGAACAAGGTGCTTTAGGCTGCTGGCTTAATTACCCTTGATTTGTTCAGTTAGGAAATAGTCTGGTGCTTTTACAGTTCCATTATGTGTGTGAGCAGGTTTTGTGTTGTTCTACATTGTTGTTGGTGTGCTTAAGTGGTGAATTCTTTGAGAATAATACCCAGCACACTGCTGTACACAAAAATGTACCTAACACCCCAATTTTTTTTTTTTTTAGAATACATAAAAACAGCACAGAGTCCTCTAAAACATTGCTACACAGTAGTGTGGTGACCAGACAAGTAGAACTGGCACATCCTGGGAGCTTGTAAAAAACGCCCCATCTCAGGCCCCACTCCAGAATCTGCGTATTAACAAGATTTCCAGATGGATCCACAAGGGAAGCAAAGGCGAACTTGTCTGAGTTCACACCTGTGTTCCCGAGAGGGTGAGACGGCAGGCCGAGGCAAGTTCTGTCTGCCATTAACCACTGAAGTTTGGGACGTTAATCCAGGTGCTTCTTCACCGAAAGGTCCATTTGGTAAAAACTAAGTTAAGAACACAAATCCTTACCAAAGGAGCCTTCCTTTCAAAGAAGACCAGTCTTCACAGGGTTTCTTTAAATAGCCAGTTCCTCCAAGATATTGAAAATATGATCAATGTATAAAATAAATTGATATCCATTTAAGTTTTATGCAGTGCATAAATTACAAGTATATGTGTACCTTACTGAACTTAAAAGTCCCTGAAAACCCAAATTCCAGATTTACAAAGGAGGGACGCTTAGCCAATGCAGTAAACAGTTACTCCCTGTTGACCCATGCCCTGACAATTATGATGTTAGTGGTACCCACCCAAGACCGCAGACCACACTATAGTCAAGGAGTTGTAGCAGATTCTGAACATTATCTAGGCCAACTCCCTTGTTTTATGGAGAGGAAAGACCACAGCCCGGGATGAAAAGGAGTCATCCAAGGTCACAGAGCCCTTGAGGCAGAACAAGCTCAGGATGTAGACCCTGACTCCTCGTCCTCCACGCCCTGTGTGTGTAACCTCTGCGCACATACTGGTCCTTCCCCACCACATGGCCTTGACATTTCATTCTCAGAAGTCGCTGACCTGCTTTGGCACGCAAGTGTCACTTTGCTTCTGCCAGCTACTGCTGTGCCCAGCTCCCTAGGCTGCAGGAGAAGCTATATCCCAGCTTCACCAAAACATCCATTTATGAAACCATATTTCCAAATATGTTGGTAATGGATTCCTAACAAGCCCAATGCTAACCGCATAATGTAAACCGCGTAGCCTTACTATTAGCTCGCACCAGGAACATGGGGAGGGAAGGGCCTTTCCTTAAGTGGCTCAAGATGAAAAATGAGGGAAACCATTAACTCAGTAGTACGGAGGGAAGGCAAAAACTGGAGCACAGTAGGGAAGGCAGCACCTTGAAAAAATGTACACAGTGTGACTATAAAATTGCAAGTCTTTTTTTTTAATAAAACAAACATGACAGAATGTAGAAATCTAAACGAACATTTCTCCCTCACAGTCGCTACATCCTTAGTTCCAACAGAGCTACCTTTGTTGGTGACATCATTTGAACTCCTCTTTGGGGAAAGACCTTAAAAGGCAGTTCATGAGCCACATTAGAAAATAGCTTCCCGAATGTTGGGCTGTTTATAATCAGAAAATCCACACTCAAAGGATGCCACCGAAAAAAATGAACAAGGTGCTACAGCTCGCAGGGAGGTTTCCTACAGACCGCTAGCAAGCGTTCTGAGCAACAGCTTCGTCACTGGAGAAGTGTGGGGGCTCCCAGCAGCCACTTTCAATGGGAGGGCATTCATTTGGACAGAAAAGTTCTGCTGTCTACTTAAAAAAAAAAAAAAATCAGCCACACTCCTTTATAGTCACACTTGCATTTGATAAAAAATAAAAATAATTAAAAAAATACAACAACAACACTCACACATGGTTCTTGTATGAATTCTAATTAAGAGACATTACATTCAGAATTATAGCACTCATAGTGATAATTTTCAAAAGACTGTAACAGCTTTCTTTGCCACTTAAGGGGTACACAGGGTGCAGCTGTTTACCTGAATGTATTCTTAAATAAGTGACTACTACCAGTCTAATTTTCCTAGGTGTAGCTCTGTTACAGGTTACTGACCGCGAGTTCATGTTCCAGACTTCCTTGGCCAACACAGATTAATTACAAGGGAGCCACCCTCACAGTCTTAGGGCGAATTGGGAAAGGGCCGGTTAAATGAGGAAACAGGCCATTCCTTGGTAAAAGTTTGTAGTTTTCTTTCCCAATACATCTTCTTTTTATTGAGAACTTCCATTTTTATCCTGTGTTCCTCCTCTGCCATCTCACACTCTCGCTCTATCTGCTGGATTTTGGCCACATGCACCTCATTCATTTGTATCAGCTGCAGTTGTAAGATGGACATTTGTTGATGGTGTTCTTCCTCATGCATCTTTTTTAAAGCACCTTCCTGAGAGGTTTTGCTCCTGTAGTTTTTATTGGCTGTTATTCTGACAGCTGAACACGAGGGTTCAGGTTGAGAGGTCCCCTCACATACTGGAAAATGTATGAACTCTTTCTCATCATCGCACAGTTCTCTATTTGAAACAGCAAATGATTCTGAAAAACAGTAGCAGAAAACATATGTTCAAAGATTTTACAGGCAGAGAGTAAATCATCCTATTTCAATGACAGGGTCCCCCATTACAGGATGTATCTGAAATAGCACCTGCTTTAGCCTTGCCACATCTGACTTTTTAGAAACCCACAAATCCAAAGCAATTTTCCCTTAAGAAGTAATGATAAAGTGTTTCATCATATCATTTCTAGAACTGTGAACTATAGGAACAGTGGTCTAAGACTGCACTTATCAAGAACTGGAGACCTTGTTATGTTAATAGAAATTCTAAACTGAAGCGTGCACAAGTCTAAACAAGCAGAAGACCACAGTACAAGGCCAACGCTGGGTTTTCAGGTTAAGTTGTCCCTTTCTCACTTTCTCATTCAGCCATGAACATTTAGGTTCCATGTCCACAAGGGCGCCACTGCTGTTTCCTGGTCACACGTCTTAACACTTCCCCTGGACATAAATAAATAAATGTTTACTTATGAACATAAATATTCTTCCTTGAAAGATGAGTCCACACTCCCTGGCTTAACTTCCTCAGTCAGCCAGTTATCCTCAATCTCCTCCATCTGTGGTTATCTCTAACACTGCCATCTAGGGGTCAGTATTCAGATCCCAAAGACACTTTTCAGTGTCCCTCTTAGGTAACCGCTCCCTAACACTTGAAAATCCTTCTTGAATTTTTCCCCACTATTCGCTTTCGAACCATTGCTCTCTCCTAAATGTTCTACAGCTTCCTTTCTGTCTGCTCCTTCTCAAGTCTTCTTTCAGGACTCAGATTCTTGGTCCACCCAGCCCTTACCTTTTCATATTCCCCTGAGGTTCTTATCTTTGTCTTTGGCAGTTTTCAATCCACCCTAAGGAGCCCTCATAATCTGGATCCAACCCTCCTTTAATCTTTCTTGCCTCACTCTCCAAAATGCCCTGTGCACCCTTCAATCCTACCACAAACTACTCACATTCTTAAAGGCCATATTTTTTCCCCATGATTCTTATTCATTGTTCCTTTAGCCTGAAGTTGGGCTCACTATTTGCCACCCTTGTGTACACTCTTATTCCAGTCTCCCTTTTTCAACCTCCCCCCTAATTCCTAATTTTTTCAGGATCAATGCCCCTTGCTCTGTGAAACCTCAGCTCTTTCCTTTCTCTATATGTACACTTCTGTTGCAGCACTAAACATATATGAGTGTTCTTTTGAGACCATGCCTTATTCATTTCTTTTACCCTTGGGACCAATTGCTTTCCTTTGTACACAACAGATGCCAGGTAAATATTTACTGGATGAAGCTTTGAACAAAAGGGGAAGAGAGCATATGGATACAAAAGGATGCCACTTTCGATGGTGCCATGTTTGCACTACTATTTTTATAGGGCTATGACATTAGTATCAATTAGGGAGTTTCAATAAGGAAACCACTAATTCCACTAACCCATGGAGTCTTCTAGTTGTGACTCCAAAGCTTTTTGGGGAAGATTTACACTTTCAATAATGAGAATCGTCTCCTTGGAGAAAAATAACATCAATTTATACACAAGAGTTGCTTACATTATTACCTCCATTCCATTATTCCAGAAGATGGGATGCTGGGAACGTTAATGGCTACTGGGAGAAACCTAACTCACGATACTCTGTTAATAAAAGGAAAATGGCTACTGTTTAGATTATTTCACTCCCAGGGGTTAGGTAACAACCATAACTAGTCCTTAATTAAGGTTAAAGAAAAGGTAAAAATCTTACTTTTGAAAGAGAAGTTTAAAAAGAATACTTCTGTGGCATCCAGAGATAATGAAAATGTCTCCCTAGGAATCTTTCCCAACTCTGATGGCTCTGGCCATCAATTATACGTCCCTCCTTCAAGCTGCCACTGCCTCCTGGGCCTACCTCTGGCAGAGCACTTCTCAGAACTGGCAATTTAACTACCTCCCCTTTGGGTCTCTGAATACTTTGAAGACAGACACTGCCTCTTATTCATCCTTATGGAGAACCCAGCACAGGGCCTGGTACACTGCTGGGCATGTAAGAAATGTGTGGGGGATAAGCTGGCTGCAGTGGGTCACATCCCTCCCGACACAGCACAACTCTGTAAAAAGAACAATGCTCTGTGTGGATAGCCGAGGCATAGGACAAAGGAATGGGAAAGGCTTAACACGAAAAACAGGGTCCCTCCGAGGTGAGCCTTAACTGCAAAGAGGATTATCTCATCCGTTTCCTTTCTAGTCCCAGATCTGAAAGTGCCTTCTTTGAAGACTGGACACAGATCTTTTTTGGTATCATTAGCCTCTTTTCTCTTTGGTATCATTCCAGAGGATATTCCTGAGTTCATGCCCTCTCAGCACTGCTCATCTCTCCCAATTTCTAAATGCTCACTTTTATCTCAACAATGCTAGCCTTTAGGGACCTGATGATGATGATGATGATGATGATGATGATGATAACGACGACAGCAGCTACTATTTTCTAGGTAGCTAACAAGACACTAGGCTAGTGCTTTACAGGAATTATCTCATTTAACCCTTACAACAACCCTCTGCAGTAGGTATTCTTATAAAATAACAAACACAATCTCCAAAGTCATTTGGATAGTGGAAAGAACCAGGATGCCAATCCAGGTCTTCATCGTTCCAAAAATCCAAACTCAGCTACTGCAACACCCAGCCTCTCACTACTTCACTTGCTCGGCTGATCGCTTATGTGTGTCAAACGCAGCCTCCAAGTTGTATCCACTACAAGACCATCTAGTATTGGGTCGTCGGAAGAGTCATGACGCATTTTGTCTATGTTTTTCAAAGGTCATTTATTTATATAAAGAACGAAGATCAATCAATGATATATTGCCCGTTTTGTTCGATAACCTTTTGCCATCTTTTAGTGAGCTTCATAACTCCTCATTCATAGAAGGACCTGTCTTTATTTGTGAAAAACTGAACAAGGTGCTGATTTACAGCCTCATCTGAATTGAACGTTATACCACGCAAGGAGTTTTGAAGAGAGTGAGACAAGTGGAACTCTGACGGCGCAAGGTCAAGCGAGTATGGTGGGTGTGGCAACACATCCCATCCAAGCTCCAATAATTTTTGACGGGTGATCAAACTTGTGTGTGGTCTCGCGTTGTCGCGATGGAAAATAACTCCTTTACAATCAACAAGCTCCGGACATTTCTAGATGATGGATTCATTCAAACTGTCCAATTGCTGACAGTACACATTCGAATTGATTGTTTGGTTTCTTGGTAGGAGCTCGAAAAACACAACACCTTTAAAATCCCACCACACTGAGAGGATAACCTTCCTCTGATGAATGTCTGCTCTCGATGTCGTTTGAGGCGAATCATCACATTGGGACCAAGACCGTTTGTGCACCACGTTGTTGTAAACAATCCACTTCTCATCACCAGTTATCAGTCACTTCAAAAAAGGATCGTTTTCCTCACGTTTAATGAGCATATTGCAGATGTTGATACACTCCCTCAAATGAACTTCTTTGAGTTCATGCGGAACCCAAATATCGAGCTTGCTTACATATCCCAGCTTCTTCAGGTGGTCGTGAACGCTTGAATGATGGATGTTCAATGTTTCTGCAATCTCTCGTGTCGTATAACATAGGTATGACTCGATCAATGCCTTTATTTTGTCATCATCAACCTCAGTGGGCCTTCCTGACCAAGGAGCTCATTGAGATCAAAATCACCAGCACGGAATTTTGTGAACCATCGTTGGCACTGACGTTCTTGTAGAGCATTGTCACCATAAACTTGATGCAACTTTTTACAAGCTTGATGCATGTTCTTCCCTTTATGGAAGTAAAACAGTAAAATATGGCAAAAATTTCGTCTTCCATCTTCGACTTGTAAAATCTCCAAAACTCAACCAAGTCACTGAACTTTTTTTTAGAATGAAGCTAGAGCTGTCAGTTGTCAAATGACATAGCAATAACATAGATGCGAATGACTCTAGTACTTTCCAAAATGAACTAGTGCCATCTGTTGCAAACATGCGTCATGACTTTTCCGACAACCCAATATTAAGAATACGGGTGTATATCCAAATTTTGTTCTCCAAATTTTTCTCTGGAGCTATAAACATGAAGATAACATGTTCATGTCTGGGAGCAGAGAAATGATTGTGCTTTAAAACTATCATTTTTAGTTTAAATGGGTGCTAACATACAAATTTTAAAGAAAAATATCCAGGCTTCTTAAGACTGGCAGGAGCTGAGACTTAAAACTAGAGAAGCCCAATGGATAGTTTATTAACTTTCACACAAATATTTGCTCCAATGAATGGAAGCTCATGTTCAGATGGGGAGAATCTTCTCTTAATTGGAAAAGGACCATTCTGGGAACGGCAACCTGCTGCAAACATGCAAAATGTAATCTCTCTCCCAGGTAAAACAAAGCCGCCCGAAGTAGAGAACAACTCAGTCTTGTGCAAAATGGATATAAAGGCCTAAGGACTTTCCTGGGATGGAAGAACAGTCAAGGGGGTGTACTTTCATTTGGGTAATTTGAGTAACTTTAATATCAGCAGGAAAAACCTACTATGGCAATAAAAGAATGGGAAGGAAACTGAGTTCAGGCTAAACCCCAGCTCTCCTCAACAGAACAAAGAAAATAGGATTGACCGGGAGAATGGGTAAGTAAGATGCGGTAGGTGCATACTATGGAATATTATGCATCAACTAAAACAGATTAGATTTACACACTGCAATGGGACTGGATCTTAAAACATTATTGTAAGTGCAAAACAAGGCACGCAAAAAAGAATGGTATGTAGCACAATTTTTAATCTATGTAAATTAAAATATATGCACACAAAACAGCAACACATGCTTTCAAGAACATGTGAGAGAATACACAACCACATTAGAATGTTAAGGTGTCGAAGAGAATGAAAGTGGTGAATGAGGATAAAAAGGGAATAAACATTTAAGTAACACAAAAAGGGGACTTTTCACAGACCAAGACTGGAAATATAACTCAGTCTCCTGTACTCAAGTTGTCACCCCAAAAGAATCGGATTGGATTAAATTGTGGAATGCAATAAGTAATGTTTGTTATAATTATTTAATTATAGCTTTGAGTACCCATGTTTGCATTTTTCAACTATAGCTTTATAGTAAATAATAACATGTGAAATTAAATATAAATTCTCTTAAGATATCTGAGTACTGCTTGTAAGCTTAGTTTGCTTAAATATATTTGACATCTAGTCATCCTACTACCCTCCTGACCACTTCTAGCAAATTTTATTGGTTCCCTTAAGTTTGTTTTACAAACCTGTTCCCCAAAGATAATCTACTTATCTTAAAATGAAAGTGTCAAAATTATCACATATCATAAATCTGCAGGGTATAAAGTGTTTTTAATATACTTAAGGGGAAAATACAAGTTTTTTGCAAATACATTCCTAAGTTAAACTTACATTTTAAAATTACTGTGTTCAAATACAGATGTGCATTTCAAGAAAGTCATTGACAAAGCTAACAATATCCTGGGTACAGTGATCAAGATGACAAAGTTGAAATCATCTCATACAAAAAAATAGTTGGAAGGAGGCCTCTAGTGGAATACTGCTAGTTTCCATCCTGGTTAAATTCCAACAAATCTCTGAGCACCTAATTCTGTAATAGGCACATTGTAAAGTGTTAGAACAGTGCTATCCAATCGAAATATAATACAAGCTACATATGTGATTTAAAAATGTTTGTTTAGCCACATTAAAGAAGTAAAAAGAGGTGAAATAATTGTAGTAATGTATTTTTAAATTCAATATATCTAAAATATTATCATTTCAATGTGTAATCAATATAAAAAGTATTAATAAGACATTTTACATTCTTTTTTGGTATGAAGTCTCCAAGAAGCGGTGTGTATACTTATAGTATATCTCAATTCAGTCTACCCACATTTCAAGGCTTCTCACTAGCTTCATGTGGCTTGTGACTACTGTATTGGACAGCACAGTGTTACAGATACTAACTAAAGTAAAACTCTCTCTCTCTCTCTCTCTCTCTCTCTCTCTCTCTCTCTCT